GATTAAAAACATGCAGCGTTTGTGATTTACTATTGCTATGCACTACATAAATTATGCATTCGCTTTTTTTATTTTTTATCTTTAAGCCAAATTCGTTTGAAAGCTTAATAATATTGACGGTTAGTCAATATTGTTATATCAGATTTTCAATATTATTAGATTTCAATATTATGTTATTAAAAATAATCAATATTTTTATTAAATATTATATTTTTGAAAAAACATTTTATTTTCTTTCTCCTGAAATACATGATGACGTCTTGTTTAAATAATTTACTCTTCTATATTCCGACATATTTTTAAGAAATTTATATTGGCGGGTCCGTAAAGTGACATTTATTGTAAAAAAGCATTTGTGTTGAACAATTATCTCTAATTACGCAGGTCGGAGAAAAGTGAAGATATGAATACGCACAAAGTGCGACTCAACGTTGAGTCCGACGAAGAGGAGGAGGAAGTGGAGGATGAGTGGCTAGAAAAGAGGCGAGAAGACGAGGAGGAAGGAGAAACTGAGCCAGAGGAAATGCCAGGTATGGTCGTTAGTCTGACTTTTCTATGTTTCAGGAATTGAATAACAAAAACTGATCTCGTTTTATCGTCTTAAAGATCTCGATAAACAGAATCCCTATTAACAGAATTATGAGGCGGATAAGATATAATGCGATACTTATAAAAACAAGGAAACAGACTGATTTCTTTTCCAGATGACGGACAGACAGTGACAGCTAGACCACGAAGAATGTCCGAGTACAACATGGCCACCAAAAAGGAACCGATCCCGGCCGGTTCGGCATTCTTCATTTTTTCTAACACGAATAGGTACAGAAGCCTTTTGAAGTATATTTCATCTCGGTCGCCGAGATAAAAATAATTTGATCAAACTTTATATTTCTCGAATGTCGCTTTGCAATCAGCCTCTCTTGATCGTATTTCTTCTTACTCTGCGTTTCGCAGGTTTCGCGTATTCTGCCATTGGTTCTGCAATCACAGTTACTTCGGCAACGTGATACTGATCTGCATTATGATTTCCTCCGCCATGTTGGCCGCCGAGGATCCACTGTCAACTTCCTCGGAAAGAAATAAGGTATTCAGTTCGCGTTAAAATTTAAGGGATTGTCTTAGCTAACTATCTTTAAGATAGATAACGTAAAATAACTGATTTGTGTTACAGATGCTGAGCTATTTTGACTACTTCTTTACTATTGTCTTCACAATCGAAATCTGCCTCAAAATGATTTCATACGGCTTCATTATCCACGAGGGCGCATTCTGCCGGTCGGCTTTTAATCTGCTCGATCTTCTCGTCGTTTGCTCCTCTCTCATTTCCATGACAGTCAGGTATAATATTCATTTTATCTTATGGTAGTATATAATAATTATATAATGTATAATTATAATCAAGTATTAAGATTTACAACTTTACGATCAATTATAATCATGCTACTTTTCATGACATTTGTATAAAAAGAACGAAAGATGAATGTTGTTAGAGAAGCAGAATTTTGTTAAAAAGAGTTTAAGTGTCCAAAAGACAAAGAGCCTCGCTCTATAATTTTTTTTATATCATATCTGACTGCGTTGTTGTTTATTGTATATAGCAGCGGCGCATTCTCTTTCATCAAAGTGCTTCGAGTGCTTCGCGTACTGAGGCCGCTGCGTGCCATCAATCGCGCCAAGGGATTAAAGGTATATCTCTTTCATCTTTGTCTCAGTTATCTCTAAGAGTCCGCTAAAACTGGCCCAATTCACAGCATACGCCCTACCGTAGTTCGTAACAATAACGCCACAGAGGCATAATGTACCGTAATGTCCACAGCTAGCTAGATTAAAGAGTCGTTCCCGTTAGTTCGACGTTGATCGCAAAAAAAAAAAAAATGGCGGAAGAGCGCCGAGATAACGTCGAAAAAATCGCGTTAACGACGAAGCGAGATATTTTCATCCCGAGAATTCTTGTTACGCGAGAGTCGACCTATGAAGCGAGAATTTATTTACTAAAAAAAAAAAAAAAAAAAATCGATGAAATATTATTTATTTAATTTATTTCCCAGACCGATATATACGAAATTAATGCGACAATACCTCCATAAATTTCTACGTTGCGAAAAGATATCAAAAGACGTACTTCATAGATTTAATAAAGAAATTTATCTCGAGTATGCAAACTTATGTGTTATTGTTTAAAATCTTGAGTTCATATTTCGTTCGATCTCTAACGAAGAGAACGAATCGAATTTGACGGCGACAATGTACAGTATTAGAGATGACGAGATATGAAAATAGGCGCGGCGCGACACTTGTAATTTCCATCTCTCTATCACAAAGGGCGAGTATATATTGTAATTAATATTGTGAACCCAGCACGTAGTACAGTGCGTCATCGTAGCGGTAAAGACTATCGGAAACATAGTCCTCGTCACCAGCCTCCTGCAGTTCGTGTTCGCCGTCATTGGCGTACAGCTCTTCAAGGTAGGATTATCGGGCCCTGATACTGACACGGCCCCGAGAAAAACTCTCCTCCGAGCCTCTTATATAGTATATATTAGAGTGGCATAATATTATCAGTCGATACCCTACAAACACCCCCCCAGAAACCCTCTTAAAAATCTCAGCCTTAATCCACCCCTGTCTTTCTGTCTTTCTCTCTCTCTCTCTCTTTCTCTTTCTCTTTTTCAAGATCCGACTTCGGCATTTGTTCATTCGTTTACCCACACATTTTTCAAATGCAGCCAAGCCATAAATTTAATTCACCATCACCAAATTCATCACTACTACTGCGACTACTGCCTAGTACTCTTGGTACGCCTTTGCTCGGCAGTTTCTTCGACGATTATTTCCGCCCTTGTTGCAAAAGACGCGCGGTTACATCTCACGGACCGCGCGATTAATTTTACAAGCTGTTACAAATTCGCATGAATTTTTTTGTCGGAGTAATTCCGCTGAGAAAGACACGTGACTGGAAAAGATTTTCCAAGACTGTTTCCCGAGTGAACATCGAAGACTGATGACACGCGCGTTCAAGCTTCCGCTTAATAATTAGAACTAAATTCTTCTCATCATCGATAATTATGTGTTTCCCATGAATCCCCTGCACCGCTCCTTGGGTTTTGCAGATTTTTTTAACACGCGCACGTGATTTTTACGATTTTTATCACCGTTTTCCGCACCTGACACACGTGTGCGTGTGTGTGTGTGTATATATTTTGCGTAAGTTTCATCTCATGATGATTGTCACAGAAAGCTTTTCGTAGAGAATCTATTTCGTTGCTACAGCAATATCGTTATGGATCGCTGGTTCGCGTGAATGAAGTGACGCTCCGCGCAAAGCTGCGGAATTAACGAACGCATCGTCCAATTAAGAGAACATCTATATCTCCGACACATCGATAACGATCGATGCGTGTGTGTGCGCGCGCGCGCGCGCAGGAATGACACGTGGAAAATAATCGTCGAGGGGCGCGAGTGCAAAGCGAATGTTGTTTTCTCTGACAGATGCACCTCTGGGTACCTCCCCTGTGAAACAAGCTGTCTTTTGCGTGTAACTTTACTCATAATTAGACTCCTTGTCTCCCCGAAACCCCTCACTAAGACCACGATTGTGTTTTCTTTATTTCCACTGTACATAAGATCTTTTGTGTCGAAGCTCCCGGTTTACCGGAAGTCAGCTTTGACCGTTTGCCTTTGTTATCCGATAAATCGATTTTACATCGACGTAGCTCGTTCGACTCGATTCGACGCCGATATCGAATCGTTTATTTTGCCATTACGTTATTCCTTTAGATAATATGTTTATAAAAATCTAAATCGACGTCTATTTAAAATTAGAAAATCTAATAGAGGAGAGAAAATTATTATTTTTTTTTTTTCTTTATTAATGGAAAGTGTGTCACGCTATAAGAGTATACGATAAAATTTACAATAAAATGCGATGTAGATTATCGTAATTTTGAATGCCTAATTACTTTCATTGAATTTTATTTTGCTGCATCAAGTACTTAGCCCAAGGCTAAGTGCCTTAAAACTTTGGACGAACGCGCGAGTTTCATTTAAAATTTATCCGACAGACTTTGTCGGGTCAGTCAGATTATTTACACGTTATGGTGCTGCATTTATGTTTAAATATAGTAGAAATAACGTGTGTGTCTCTGTCTCTCTCTCTCTCT